GTGTGTGTGTATGTGTATGTGCCCGTGTCATGGCCCACGTGTGGAGTTAGAGGACAACTTGTGAGAGCTGATTCTCTTCTTCTACCACATGGGTCCTGGGGATAGAACTCAGGTCATCAGGCATGGTAGCAGGTATCTTTACTGCTGAGTCATCCTGCTAGCCCCACTAACTGATCTTTTATGTCTTATAGAGTTTATAATGAGTAAAAGATTATATAAGCGTAATAATTCATCTGTAAACCTAGAAATGTACAGCCAATTTTGAAAGAGATGTACCCTAGCTCAGAAAAATGTTATTGAATAGGTTAATGCTGTTGTAATGAAATGCTTCTTTTAATTAAAATAAAAAAATGTTCATGCATATTAAAAAAAAAGGGAAGACTGTCTCAATAATACCTCTGAGTAGAAAATGATGGTCAGAGTTGTGTAGCCATAAACTCAGGATAATATTCGCTCTTTTTTCTCAACAGATATTTTACTGAGTAGCTACTATGTGCCAGGCACTGGTCAATAGCCTAGAGGTGAAGATGAAGTCCTACAATAATGAGGTTCATATTTAGTAGGAGAAACAGACATTAAAGAAATAAATGTAGGGGCTGGAGAGATGGCTGCTCAGTGGTTAAGAGCACTGACTGCTCTTTCAGAGGACCCAGGTTCGATTCCCAACACCCACGTGGCAAGTAACAATTGTCAGTAACTCCAGTTCCAGGGGATCCGATGCCCTCTTCTGAACTCCACAGGCATTGCACTACAGAGGTACACTTACACACATGCAGGCAATACACTCATATGCATAAAATAAATTAAAAATATTTTTGAAAAAGAAAATAAATGTATAATGTTATTTTAGGCAATGACATATCTTACCAATGAAACGAAGCTGGACATATGGGTAGAGGAAAAAAATGGAGGAAAATGAAGTTTTGCATTTAAGTACAGTGAGAGAGTGATCCAAATTGATAAACGGAAGAATATTATGATAGGATGAAGACCACGGAGCAATGGACCTGAAACCAGAGTCAGGAATCAGGAAAGCAAGTGTGGTGTAGTGTAGGGAAGAGTGAGAACAGAAAGAGCTGAGATTCCAGCAGGAGCCAGTAGTGAAATCATGTTGATGTTTAAAATCACAGCAAGCACTTTGGAGCCAATGCAATTACACTGTCCAAGTTTGAGAACGGGTGATACAATCTGACTGGTTTATGACAAAATGTCTTTCTGATTACACTGCGGACAATGGACTACAAAGGGGCAAAAGTGGAAGCACAGGGACAAATCAAGCCCTTGTCTCAGTTCATTTTCTGCTGCTAATGCAGGACAAATAGAACACCAGAGACTGCGTGACCTAAAGAAAAGAAGAGGCTTAATGACTAGCACGGTTCTGGAGCTGGGAAATTCTGGAGCAAGGTGTGAGGATCTGTTCAGCTTCTCATGGAGGCCTCCTACTGCTTAAGGCCATGTTGGAAAGCCTAAGGCAAATGGGTTGTGTGTAGAGGAGGGATAGTGCGAGGGTGGGCTCCCTTTGTAGCAGTCTGCTCTCAGCTAAAGCAATCCCATGAATGAAACACACTATTGATTCATTTGTGAAAGACACACCTCCAAATAGTGTCACAGTGTACCTCACCTCAATATGCGTTTTGGTGAGAAAAATAAAAACCCTATTCATAGCAGCCATTGACCACAGTCATGGAGATACGAGGTGATGGCTTAGAGTAATAAAAGAAGGATTAGGGTGCTGAGAAGTTGGGTAATTCCAAATGTACATTTCTAAACACAGGTACACAAGAACACCATTTAATGGACTCAGTTCATTTTACACACACACAGACACACGTAGAGATATACAGATATATGTACATATCTGCATATAGGTATATTTCTAGATGTATCTATGTAGATGTAAAAGTAATAAAAAGGGACAATGAATTGACAGGAAATAGGGGAGCATGGGAGAAGTTGGTGGGAGACTGGATGGAATGGAAATAATGCAAAGGCAATACTCATGTATGAAATTCTCAAAATAAAAAAATAAACTATTGCATTTGAGAAAAGAGGGAGAAATGGTCATTTTCACAATCTGTATTGAATTCAACAGAAGAAACAGATACTTTGAATGTAGAGAATGGAGGAGAAAAATCAATGTATGTACCTGGACTAGACAGTAATTCGATTTCAAATATGAGTGAGAAGACCTTCCTTGATCTATCACTTCTGTTTTTACTAATGACTTCTTCTTTTAAAAAATATTTTATTATTTTTATTTCATGTGTATGAGTGTTTGCGTACATGTGTGTAAGTGCACCCATGTTGTGCAGTGCCCACAGACATCAGAAGAGGGTGTCAGATCCCCTGGAACTGGAGTTATGGATGGTTGTTTGCTTCTATATGGCTGTTGGGAATCAAACCCGGGTCCTCTGCAAGTGCTCTTCACCGCTGAACCATTTCTCCAGCCCTGATGACCTCTTTTTAACTGCTTGGTCACCTGATTGGAACTAACAAGTTTATAGTTCCAAAACTGTTCAGAAATGACAGTGCTTTGAGGCTAAGTAAAATTATGTGGCCTTAGAGGAAACTGGTGACAAGTGGAAGCAAAGAAATGGCAGTTTGGTCTGTAGTATCTGGCAAACAACACTTCACATACCTTTGTTTTGGGAAAGTTCTGGTAGATGTTGCGTCATATTATCCAAATGGAGGAGTTGGTCAGCAAAATATTGTATTCTGGTTTTCCAAAATAAAGCATTCTTAGAAGCTGCAGGAGAAGCTTTGACTGTTATCTGTGTTGGATACATTGCAGTTTCTGAAATGTTCATGAGATCAATTTGTATTTGGACAGGATCTGTCAGTGTACTCATCCTGGCAATGAGTCTTAGCATGTTGTATATGTTATGGTATTTATTTTTCACAGTACGTATATTAATATCTATAATTTTTATTGAAAACGGAGGTCTTTAAAGCTGAATACAGCTAGTATTTGGTGGTGCTCAGTAGCCTCTTGGTCTGGGAGGTGACTGCACTCCATTCTTTGTAGCATCTTACTTTATTTAAGGTTCTACTTTTGTCATGGTAACATTCATTCATCTATTTGCTATTCTAAAAGAACCCGTTATTTGCCAGGCACTCTGCCATGCATTACTTATGCAGTAAGCCCTCTGTATTGGCAAGTTCTGGATCCTCAGATTCAATCCACCACAGATTGAAAATATTTTTAAAAATCACATCTGTGCTGAATATGTGCAGACATTCCCCACAGACTAAACCAAACAGACTGAAAATATTAAGAAATATCATGTCTGTGCGAATGTGTGCAGATAATTTTCACCGTCCCCTCAGCAACATACTATAGCAGTGATGTATAGCACTTGCATGATATTATGTAGATGTGATCTAGAGGTTGAGGGGATTTTTAAGTTCATACATGAAGCCAAGGATAGACATGGGAGTTGTAACGTAAGTATCCTGGCGACTCACTTTGAAGTGCTCTTTATTGTTCCTTTGCCATCTTTTCTGGAAAGAGTCTGATGTATACAGATGAAGTGTATATTGGAAGTAAGTTTTCATGGCATGTCTAAGCTTGGAAACATGAAGTAGCTGGATACTAGGGAAGTTAAGTTGTTCTAAACCCTTTAAAGTCCTTTTTCCTTTATTTTCTCCCCCTTCCCTTGTACTGCGCATCTCACAGTCTCTCCTGAAGTTCCTGCCTAGGAAGATGATAATCCCACAAATGTGGCACTTGTACATGACCAGAGTTGCACTTCTTTTCCTGATTAATATTCTGCCTGGAACCACTGGCCAAGGGGAATCAAGACGACAAGAACCAGGGGACTTTGTGAAGCAAGACATTGGCGGGTAAGAAAGCTTAATCCTTGAATCAAAAGACAAATGTTATGAATGCTTCCCTATAGAATTTTCCTGAGGACCTCAAATACTATGGTCTCTGATGCTTATATATTACATTGTATTTGGGAAAAATTATTATCTCAGACTGTCAAGGTAGAAAAAAAAGCTCAAAGGTCTTCTTAGATAACTCCCTAGATCTTTTGAAAGTTCCTATTGCGATATCATAAAAAGCAAGTTTCTCTACTATTTTAATATCAGGTTTTTCTTTTCTCTTATATTTTCAACCTGATCTCCTGTTTTTGGATTTGACCATCTAGCATTTAAACATGATTATGAATCTACCACCTTAAATATCTTCCTTCTAGAAAATGCCTCAACTCTTTTGTTACTTTCCTACCCATACTTCTTCAATGACTGCTGTGCTTTAGTATCTTTGCTTTTCTGTCTCTGATGGGACTGCACGGTCCTCTGATTAGGTTACTTCTTAAAGTCTTGCCTTGTTCACCTGTATTCTGTAACCGTCTTCCTTCTATGATGCATATTGAAACATACCTACCTCATTTGGAGAACTTTATGTCACCTTCTTGTCTCTAGAATAAAAATCAGAACTCGTAAACATGGTTTTAAAAGGCCTCCACTCACCTTTTTAACCTTAAGTCCTGGTCTTCCTGCCTTCAGACTCTGTGTTTTTCAGCGTACTTCAACTTCTTTTAAACCAAACTCTTATCTTCTTCCTGCTATAAATCACACCTTAGGATTTAAATATATTAGTATTACACAGAATATTGTTTTTATTTGAAAATATATATTCTTTTTCCTTTATTTTTACCTTTTGCTTTATTAGCATTTATTAATAAAGGAATTATTCATGACAGTTGCATGTATGCCTTTACCGTGCTTTCTGGTATCCTTCCTCTTCGCAAACAATACTTTCGACTTTCATGTATTTTTTTTTAAATCAAGATTCCATGTATGAAAGAATACTACTAACATTTATCTTTCTGAGTATGACTTATATCCATTTTCTGTTCCTTGGTATTGCCTTTTTAATTTTCTTTACATTTGGCTATTTCTCATATTCTTGGAAATATAGAATTTATTCTTCATTATTTTTGTAAGAGTATCTTAATGCACACTGTCTCTTTCCACTTTTATAGCTTTTTTTACAGTAATCTCAGGGTTGAGGCGTACATACATACATACATAACTAGACTCATGTGTTCTTAAAATCTTGCCATAAGCATTTCTTTTTGTTTGTGCTTCCAACATGGAAAATTAAACCAATTTGTTTTTATTAATTCCTCATAAGTCTTATTTCATTGAACCATGATAGATATTCTAATATGGTAGAAGTTCTAAATGAGTGAACTTTATCTCTAAGTGTGAAATCTTTTTAATCTTAACTTGGAGGATAAGGTTTCTAAAAGTGTATTACATAATTTTTATAGTCCTAAACAATGATTTTGAAAGAATAGTTCTTATTCTCAGTAAATTTTGATTCTCAGAAGGAACGCTTATTATATTTATCCTACAGCTGCTATTTATTTTTATCTCCCACCTTTGTGTTGTCACCTTTCCTGTTTATATTGCTTTCCAACATCCTGGTAGTGCTCAGAAAAACAGATAGCCAAGTATTTTAGCAATTATGTTAGATATGTGGCCAAGAAATTCTGCCTGGAATAGATACATTTTCTTCTTTATTTTCTTTCAAGTTCAAAATAATCCATGGTATATGTTGGGCTGCAGAGATGGCTCAGTGGTTAAGAGCACTGACTGCTCCTACAGAGGACCCAGGTTCAGTTCCCAACACTCACATGGTGGCTAACAACCATCTGTGACTCCAGTTCCAGGGGATCTGATCTGACACCCTCTTCTGACCTCTGTGGGCATTGCCTTACACGGGTGCACTTACACACATGTAAGTAATACACTCGTAAACACATATGCCCACACACAGACACACATGCATACACATAATTTTGAAAAAAAGAACATATGGTCATGACAGTGGTGATGGTTGATTGACAACTGTGAATTGAAGAAGAGATGGCGAGGGAGGTTATTAATTTTTTACCACATATATAGCCTGACTTGGTGTCATTGTATGGAAGGTTTGTGTAAGTGTATTCATCTTAAAACTTATTTTCTCAGGACTGGAGCAAAGGCTCAGCAGTTAAGTGTTCATATTGCTCTTGTGGAGGATCTGAATTTGATTCTCATCACCTACATCACATGGCTCACAACCACATATAACTCCAGCTCCAAGGGATCCGATGTTCTCTTTCGGCCTCCATAGGCAAATGCACACACATGCACATGTTAAGTCCTATGCAGTCAAGCTTTTGTACCCATGTGTCCTTCGATTTATATTCATCCACTGGAGTCTAGCCACCTTTCTACAGATCGTTGATATTGCCTACTCTCCCTCACCCAGTAGTGATCAATCTCCAACAGTTCCCAGACTAAGGCCAACCACCATCCATTTCCCTTGCTCCACTCTGGGCCCTTGTCTGACTGAATTGGCATGGGTCCTGTGCTTGATGCCACCATTGCTACAAGTTCTATGTACAAGCTTCCAGTGTCCTGAAAGCCTCTGTGTCCCTCTGTTCATGGAACAACCCTGGTTCTTATCATCTTTCCACTCCCTTTTCCATAATGGACCCTAAGCCATGGGTGGGAGAGGTTTGATACAGGACTCCTATCAAGAGACACATACTCTGAAGTCTCTTATTCTTTAAAACTTGGCCATTTGTGGCCTCTGTGTGCATCACACTCTGTTGTATAAGGAAACTTCACTGGTGAGAGTTGAGGGATGCACTAGTTTTCTCTCTGCCCCTCGTTCCACTATGTTCCATGAGCCTTAGGTGTAGAAGTTCCACTGTAGATATGTCATCTTGGGCTGGACATCTCTCAGACGTATGTTCTCTGTGTCTGACCAGTTGTAGGTTTCTGCAGTAGCCTCCATCTGTCGCAAAAAGAAGCTTCTTTGATGAGTGGTGTACAGTATACCTGTCTGTAAATATAAGGATCCATACTTAGCATATGGTAAGAAATTTCATTTGTCTAGGGATATGACAGAGATAGGGTTTTCTCTAGGATCTATTCCTCTCCAGCCATGTGTATTTGGCTCTGTTTATAGTGCCACCTGTGAGTTCACTCCCAATGAGAGTGATTTAAGTCCAATTAGATAGCTGTTGGTTACTCTTAAGGTAAAAATGCCACTATTGCACCATTAGGGATATTTTCCTCAGCTCGCCATTGTTGTGACTCATAGGCTTTACAGCTAGGTATGATGGTTAATTTCTTTCCTCCCTTGGCAGTTTGCATGGTATTTTCTGATGCTATGGGAGCACTTCCTCGGGGAGGAGGCATTCAGGCCAGGTTCATCTTGATTCCTCTAAGTTCTGTGTCTGAAATGTGTGATGTCTTTAGCTATATGGTCTTACCTTCAGCTTCTGGGAGACAACCAAGGGCAATGGTAACAGCCTATATTGTCTTGTGAGTCTCTTGGAACAACCCCCCACCCCCTGCCCCAGGTAAAAACTGGAATGAAATTTTACATGTGTGGAACTCTGGTTTTTGTTAGATAGCCTATGGGTACATGCACACATATTGTACATGTATTTTTTAAATATTTTTATTGAGTCTTTGAGAATTTCATACAATACATTTTTTATCATATTCAGATCCCCTCCTCCATCTCCACCCACACCTTGCTGCCTCCCCCAGCTTTATGTCCTCTATTATCACATTTTAAAGTCCTATTGGGTCTAATCTGTGTTCTCCAAACGGTCTTGGGTGTGGGTCCATCCCTTGGAGCCTGGTCAACCTACCAGGAATCACAAACCATAAAGAAAACTGTGCAACTGCCCTCTGTTGTCCAGACAACATGGTTTCCTTGTTCATCTCCCACCTCTGGATCTTACAATCTTTCTGTCCCCTCCTCTGCAATGTTCCCTTAGTCTTGGGAGGCGAGGATGTGATACGCATGTTTGTTTTGTGCTGAAGACTCTGCAGTCTCTTATTCTCTGCAGGTTGGCCAGTTTGGGGTCTCTGAGTTAATCACCATCTGGTGCAAAAAGACACTTCTCTGATGAAGGCTGAGAGATACACTAATCTATGGGCTTAAGAGTAGGCCATTAGGAGTTGGCTTAAAACTATGTGAATTTAGTAGAATAATAGTCATAATTTCTCCTCTATGGCCTATGAACTGTGAAGCCACAGGTTTTTGGCTCTGCTAAAAGGGCTACTTATGGACTCCATCTTGTGAAGTCTGTATTAAACCCAATAAGTGGTTGGTTACTACAGGGTAGCCAGGTAGACAAGGGAGTATGGGGAGGAAATAACTAATACCGAAGGTCTTTTGAAAAAATCACATAGAAACATACTACTGTAGAAACTTACATATATTATAGTTTAATGGAATTACCCTATAATGGGAGAATAACAGCCATACCAGACACCATAGACCAGAAAATAAAAAGCCAAATGCCATGAATGGGCTCCCTCTTTTGGAGTTGTTGACCAAGGGGGTCTTGTAAACCCTCAAGCAATACTGGCTGTGGCTATTGCCATTGCTATTGGTTGCCCACCAGGATCTGATAGTTAAATCGTATATATGATTTTTTGAGACAAGGGCTCCCTGTAGCTCCAGCTCGCCTGGAACTTGTTATGTAGATGTCACCTACTTCTGCCTCCAAATTGCTGAGATTAAAGGCCTGTGCCAGCACACCTGGCTCTACATACGTATTTTTTGATTTGTTAGTTTTATTTTATGTTTGTGAGTATTATTCCTGCATGTACGTAAGTGCGCCCATGTCGTGCTGTGCCTGTGGAGGTCAGAAGTGGGCATCAGATTCCCCTGGAACTGGAGTTACAGATGGTTGTTAGCTACCATGTGGGTGCTGGGATTTGAACCTAGGTCTTCTGTAAGAGCAGTTAGTGTTCTTAACCACTGAGCTATCTCTCCAGCCCCTAAATTTGTATTTTTAAGTAAACTAATACTATGT